TTTTTTTTTTTTTTTTTTTTCGAATTGGTACTAATCTTCTTTTCAATTCAACGCTGATCGATTGTAATATATCATTTCCGTTTTTCAATGAATATCGCCGTTATGACAAAGAATTAGAAACCAAAAGAATTATAAGTTAAATACACAAATCGTCAGAAAAACAAAAAAACTTATATCTTCGTAGATTGTTGTTCTATCGCTAGAATTAAGATTAAACGTATCGTTATAGCGAGTCAATAAAATTGCCTCAGACAGCTGAAGAAGATTAACGACGAATTTTTCTACGATATTATAAGTTTGTGTATATATCTTCTTGATCAATGGTCCGTTCGAGTTTGATCCTTTGTAAGTCCCGAGAAATTTCAGAAAAGATAATGAATTACAAGGGCAAAGTAACAACCGATAATTATCGTGAGATTCTTTGGCGATAATTAATCTTGAACGCTTTGTCGTATACAACCCGCTACGTCCCCACTTAATTGACCCTTTTCTGGAGTTAAATGATTTATCGTTTCGCGTGAATCAACTCCGTACGCCATGTCATTCTAATATTGAAAAATTAAGACGTCGACCGTCGATGGCCATCGGCTGGACGAAATTTTAAAAATGGTTCTTCGTTTCCCGCCTCCCGTCTCTACGAGAGATACTTTTCCACTTGATTACGCGCATTCTTATTCATTGAGGTTTTGCACTATTTCCTGCGACCTTGCTGCTCCGAACGAGAACAATTTTCTACACTTAGCAACGTCTCTCGTTGACAAACTCGGACAATCGTACGAGCCGTGCCTCGACTTTTCACGATTCTTGTAACTTGATATCTCGTCTTGCTTCGATTGCAAACTTGCAGCGTCAATATGGATCGATGAAACATCGGCATCGACTCGTGCGCAAATTGTAAATTTGAAATTCTGGCCAACCAAAACGAACGAATTGAATGACTAATTCGATCTTCGTCCGCAAGTGCAATTTTGAAACAAGAATTACGAGAGTTGCAATTGTGAGCGATCGGAGAAAAAAAAGAAAAAAAAACAGCCGAGCGATTTAATTGAATTTTGTTTGTCGTCAATAGAAATTTATTTGGAATTACCTTGGAACCACTTGTTTTTTATCTGAGTGACGTAAGACACACACGAAAATTATCCATTATTCTCGAACAATGATAAGCTAATAATACATGATAATAAAGTCATTTTTAATTCGCCTTTGTTTTTGACAGACTTATTTGACAATCTCTTATCGCTCGTCGTATTCGATATTATTCCTCCAATTGTTTGTCCTTTTCTGCCAGCAGCGTCTGCGTTCAATGGATCTCGTCGCGCATGAGGTATTTCAAATCGAAAATATGTCGCCGGAGTTCAAGAAACTCGTGTTTCTGGCTGCGATTCGCAAAGTATTTTACGACGCGAAAGCTGTCAACGGTATTTGGCAGCGTATATCGCACGTACAGAAACGTGTCAATGACTTTTGTATTCGGCGGCCTCGTTTCTCCGGGTTTCAGCAAACGACGAGCGCCGAATCGATTTCGATTTCACGGCCAGTTTCACGGAAATTATATCGTGTCACAGAACCGATGCGTGGCGGACGTGCTTATTGCAAATTTTTATCAATCCGATCGATTTAGTCTTTCGATAAAAAAAAAAAAAAAAAAAAAGAAAGAAAGGACAAATACAATCGCTTTATTTCTCCTCGAGCCAAAGCGCTTTTAAGATCTTTCGAACGTAATTCGCAATTTAAAAAGTTGAATACTGAAATGGGAAAAATAAAAACAAAAAAGAAAGAAAAAAAGAAGAGCATATGTAATAATAATCAAGTTCATGAATCTTATTTGTAACTGCTGAAACTTCTTGCGGCCATTCTCTCTCTATTTTTCTTTGCTTAACTGTATTAAAAGTCTTTCCATGTTCATCGCTTTAATAATTGAAGAGTAAAACTTGAGAAATGTTTTAGCATAATTCGAGCTTTAACGAGTAGAAGCGGTCTAACGGGATGAAGATGGAGTAGCGCATACTGCAGCAAGTGTTCGGTTCTCGAAATTATAATATAGAAATTGTAACGTGAAATGAAAGTCCGGATTTTCGAAATTAACGTGTGATATCACGTACCGTTTTATTTTAGCATCACTGTGCAAGATTCGTCGTTTAGAACGTTTGAACGATCGATGCTCGATGTTTGTCGATAGTTCGCGACTGATTTATTCACCGAACGGCAACTCTAATTCCGTATCCTTGATCGTTTATTTCTCAATTTATTTCTCAAACGTTTTGTCTATTTGTTTTATTAGGTCACGATTTACGGATAGATTGTCCCGCGACTTCCGTTCACTCACCTGTCGAATTTCGTTCAGCCGCGATAGATCAGGTGACAGTTAAAGCCTGCAGTAAGCGAATCCGATACAGAGACGTCCAATCTCTCTGCGCTTTGAAAACCTCTTTTCCTCTCTTTCGAGCTACCTGCAAGAACGAGCTTTCCATTAAAACTCACAGAGACCGACGCGTCTCTTTCGACGACGAACAGGAACGAATTAATTTGTCTCCGATACTTTTTACCGCGGCTTTGTTAACTTTCATGCAATTTAATCGATCAATCTCCGACCATTAGTTCGTCGAGTCTTTTCCCACTTCCGTTTCCCGACTAATTCCCTCGCTATTCACCTCGACATTAATTCACCGTAGAGTTTTCATGCTGGAAAATTTTTCGAGAAATGCAACGCTCGTGTTAAGTACCTATCTATCGTGATACTCGCTCGTCCACGTTTCTTCTAATCATCCAGTCATCTGGCGCAACTTCATCCAGGCGAGTACACGCTCTCGACACCCAGCTTGTCCACGTTCAGTGACTCCAGCTTGCCGACTGCAAACCTTCTCAGGGCTTTAGCCTTGAACCCGCTGCGAAACTGTCTCTCGTTCGCACCCGGTATTTTTTCCGGCTTGGATCGAACATCGGCGTCTTCTCGAATCGTCGATCGTTTTCTCCTATCCGTCTTCTCTTATCGCTTTATCGGTACGAAACCAACTTGGATCACGACGTCTTCTATTCACGATCGCGACGATACGTCGGCAGGTGCGATGATAAAAAGAGTAACGCAGCCTGAGGAGTAAACTTTGACCACAACCCAGCTCGTTCAACAGCTTGGACAAATTCTATCGAAAGTAAAAATAGAATGGCCGGTGGTCTTTTTTCCCCTCGACTAACCGAGATACCGGTATCGAACGATAGACGAGAACACTATCGCATTGGCGAACACGGTTCGCAATGGCTAGCGCGAGCTTGTCGAACGTACATATAAATCTGTTGTAAGAGCCTCTCCCCTCTCTGCAAAAACCTCCTTCACCCGACCACGTCCCTTTCCCGTGTGACACTCAATTTCATGATCGTCTCGGCTGTCTCGCTTTTCCCCACGTGCTTCTGCCGCCTGTTCTTTTTCACGCTATATCTGATGGATTATCCGATCATAACGTGAATTTACGTGAAACGGTTTCTAATAAATAAATCAATCGAGCTGGATATCGCAAACAGAAACGATCCCAAGGACTTAAAGAACTCGATAGAGAGATCCATGACAAATTTAGCAATGATAAGTAACAAGCGCGGTTTAACGTTGAAAACCAGCAGACGAATCAACTTGCCTTTAATCCTTCGCTAAAATTTCTCGACCGAAGTTCTACTCGCAGTGACTGAGGTAAAGTCAGCAAGATGAAAGAAAAGACTAAAGTGGAAAAGGCAGCATAAAACTGTTTTGTTTTATAAAATTCCACAACAACAATCAATATCCCCCGCGAGGGCTTTATATTGCGAAAAAAATTTATTGTTATTGTTGCGGCAGATCAGTTTGATATTGGCAATTATATAAATAAAAGAACGTAATATTGAAGCTGATGGACGTGCAGCGTTATTAGCGTGTGTTTCTCTCTCATTCTCTCTTGTTCTCCCTATATATATATATATATGTGTGTATTGAACTATTACTAAATTATATTAGACCATTTCG